AAATTATTCTTTATCAGTAACTATTCATTTATTTTATCAATTAAATCACAAATTGATTCATGAAAGCGAAGAGCGAGAAAACGAATTTTTTTTTATATACAAAGAAAGTATTTTAACTGAATGAGATAATTTAGTTGGTATTAACTATAGCACAGCAAAATGCCTACATCCTAACACAAGTTTGACACAATTTGCGTGAACTACGTAAAGTATTGGCATATATAAGCCAATTAAATTTATCGATCTAATGTTGGTTTGTTGATTCCTTCTCGGTAAATTCTTATTACTCCTATTTAATGTCTTTATTCTTTGTTGTGCTTTACATATCTATTCGCGCTTCAAAGCTAAATGTATCAAGCTAATGAAAGGGTTAAATGAAATTTTTCGAAAAAAAGAGTTTTACAATGATGCAAGCGGTTAGCGAAATCCCTGTTGAATTAAAATGTGAAGCATGATGTTGCTGTAGTTGCTATTCACGAGAAGATTGCTTTATTCTACTTATTTTGGAATACATATATTCACTATCTTTTTACTTAATTCTACAGTAATCCAATAACGAAATAGTTCGTATATTAGAACGAAATATTATTGTTACATGGTATTTGATCAAATGTTAATAACGTCTTTCACAGTCTTGTAAAGTTTCCAGGATGTTTGTTACGATCTGCAGGAGGGAAGAGTGACTCCAAGTTTCTATCCTATGTAATTAATTCAACACTTCTTTTAGATCGTGTTTCACGATATACAACAACTCTATGGCATCTTGTGTTTTATTCAAGATTTAATCCTTAGACTATTATCAATTCATGGGCTGAGCTGGATTTTCTTCAACCCATTGAGAGATCAGTTTCAAGATACAGCTCAGCCCAAGAATATAGTCAGTAGTAACCTTTTTATTTTTCAATTTTTTTCCTTATCCACACAAATCATATTTAGGAAAAGCACAAGTTATATAATTATGTTATTTCATTCGACAAATTCACTATTGCTCATTGGTTGCTCTATATCTTTTGGTATAATTTTACATATTTATTTATAACTATAAATGGTTCGTTCGTCAAGATTATTTTATTTAGATTTTTCTATTGATACTTTTTATCTTTGGTGTTGTTGTTACTATTTTTTTTTTCATAATTTAACTAATATTTAACCAAATCAATTAGTAGTTTTTATTCTTTCACGAAAAAAAAAATATTTAATTTTGAATAGATCTTAATATTTATCTAAATCAACGAAAATTCCTGCATTTCTAAAATATAACATCTGAATAGAAGTACTTTGTACAAGTCTTTCATGAGAAAATAAACACTACTCATTGATTTGATTAAATATCGGCAAAAATTAATTGCAAGCTTTCTTCAATCAAATTTATTTTTTCTAACTCAGTATTTTATTCAGGCGCGGCGTTCCTCCGAGAATCAAGTTCGCCCCTTAAAAATCAGGAGTTAATACATCGTGGAGTATAGTTTCCTAAACCAGCTCCAAACTTCATATATATGTATAGTGCTGCTTTCGTTGAATATGTTAATGAGTCATTTTACGATATCGGAGGATAGACAATTCAATACATCATGACTCTTTGAGAGTTACCTAAGACTACTTGGGATTATCCTTAATCATATACCCTTATATCTATGCTGTTACACTCCAAGTCTTATATCTATATCCTAATTCATCAAATCTTACACCTATACTCATGCCTCGATGCCCCTATACCTATACTCTTACCACCAATGTTTCTGATGGCACGTATACACTGCAGAAGCAAAATGTACAGACATCTGAAGCTGTGGAAATACACGCTGTTGTAAACTTTGTTTTAAAAAAGCAGAGTGTACAATGTACACTTTACAGGAGAAATTTCAAAACTATTTTTAGTCCAACAATTATGTTGAAACCTTGTATAGATAGTGGCCTATTTTGATTTAAATGAATTGAATACGAATCGCTTCATCCTTTATTTTCTATTTAATTTTGATGTATCTTGTTACGTAGTAAATAAGATATGAACATTTTTTAATATTATATGAAAACATGACTTTGTACACTATAGTACATTCTGCTGATGAAAAATAAATGTATTGTACATTTTATTTTAGATTTTCATTCGAAACATTACTTACTGCTTTTCTATAAATTTTTCTTTTTTTTTCATAATAATATGAATTTTTAAATGAAACTTAATATCTTTTTGAGACAAATGTATCTGCATTCCAAGTTAGCTCGTGCGAGATCTTGGGTGTTACGCGACACGCACGATGCATGTTCAGGCGTGACAAATCAATTCAGTGTTTTAAAATCCAATCAACCAGTATAGATGAAGAGAAAATCGTTATTTTCTCAGTCATTTCTTCTAAAATCGTTGTTTACAGTAGATGATGGTTAATTTTTATTTTCAAATATTTTCTTTTCTTGCCATTCGGAGATCTTTTTGATAACCAACAAACTTATTTGTCTCTTGTTCATGATAGATTTCCTTAATACATACACATCTGTTGAAAAAATTTTTCTTTTTTTTTTTTTTTTGATTAGTTTTATTCGAAGTCTGCTGTTTTTTGTAGGAGTGTCATTCTCTTGTTAATTTAAATAAATATAAATTACCGATAATTTCATTTAGGTATAAATTAAATTGAAAGTAAACATAAATTGACACCCCTACGCTTTTGAATATTTATCGTGCTTTCACATAGAAATTTTTTTCGAGTATATCCGTATTTATACTATTGTAGCATTTTTTTTCTGATTTTCTTTTTGTTCGTGTATTGCTAAAATACAACATCTTGTCGATGAACTAGAACATTTCCAACCGGCCCAAAATTGTTTGTTTTTTCAAATACATCTGTGGCTAATCGTTCAACTTTTTATATATGTATACTCTAATTTCGTCTAAGTTCGATTTTTTTGCATCGAAGGTTATAGTTAAGATTTATTTTTACATCTTCTACTCTTTTTTCACGTGATTGTTTCTTGTTTTTGTTTTGTCAGAACATAATTAGTGAAGTTCGATCAATATTCCAGTTCGCATATCTCAATGTTATACTTTAAATTTGTTGTATATGAATTATCCTTGTTGATATTCTGTATTACCTATAACACGTATGATTTGTCAATAAATGGAAAAAGTTCTTTTTTTTTTTATGGAACTCAAACATTTTTTCATCCATAAGCATTTTGATAAGTAATAAAAGGTACTCGACCAGTGGAAAAAATTTAGGCATCAATCTTTTAATTCATTACAAGAGGGTTAATTTAAAAAAGGAAACCAATCGGCATATGTACCAAGAAGAACAGTGTCAAGCACCGAAGTACATGGACTAACAAGAAATTAGTTTTTTTTCTATGAGTGTCATCTATGAATTAATTCAGGAGATTGAAAAAACTCCCGGCTGATATTTACCAAAAGAGTCTTTTAATCAATAAGAAGAAAAAAACCACACTATCTTTTTGTTCTTATTCGGCTTAACTTCATTGTCATATAATAAATTCATCAGTTCATATGAACCAAACAAAAATGAAATAGATAATTAAATTTTTTCATAACTCATCAGTTAAGAAAATAAACCTAGGAAAATATGTAAAAAGAAAAGATGGAAACAATAAAAGTGAATAATTGTTTTTATTGTCTATATTGGAGCTATTATACGTATCAAAAGAACTAGAAATCCTTGACGAACTTTACTAAAAGACTAATAACTAAAATAAATTGAGTCAAGTACTGTAGAAGCAATAAAAAAACCATCAACTAATTATATAAGAGTTAAATTCTGTTTAATAACCGAGCTATAATGAGCAGTTATTAAACGTAGTAAATCGATACTATAAGAAGAAATATTAATTTGAGTTGCTTATAAGACACTATTGCATTAAAATCTATATACTTAAGTGAACACGATTTAACTCGTAAAATCAACAGCGAGATCGACAGAAAAATGCCGTGAGTTAAGTTTCGAAAAAATGATGTATTTTAAAGGTCCCAAGATTTGGTAATGCATTTTAAATTCGTCATAATGACGTTTTAAGGATTATTTTTCCTTTAAATGATATTATTAAGAAAGCTTACCGAGCTTAAACACGTTTTATTCAAAATCTAGTCTACCTGTATACTTTTCTTTTCTTGCTTTTCACTCTACCTATTTATCTTTTCTTTGTTTTTTTCTCGTTCTGTTTTTCGCTTCTAGACGATAATCGACTAATGCATTATATTGATTGATATGTGAATCATTACTTGATCAAAAGATTTTTTGTATTTTACATAAAAACACATACAGCTAATTACTTTTTTTTTTTAAATAAATCATCAGATTTATAAAGAAAAATGAAAGCTTCAGACGATTGAATTGTCTTTTACTTGTGCTCGAGAATCACAAAAGCTCGAATTCAAGAGATACAAATAAGGTAAAAACAATCGCAATTTTATTAAACGAAAGGAATTATACTGCTTTCTGTTTATAGCATTTTTTTGCTCAAAAAAAAATCATGATTTCAAATACTTATAATGACTTCTCACATAATAGATACTAATTTATAAAAAAATTTAAACTAACATTATAAATGATAAACACTTTAATACGCAAGCAACGCATTAAAACAAAGAAAAGAGGATGATCGTCATTTATTGCGTTATATCACCTTTTTTAGCAAAAAAACTCAATGTCATTACTATTTAAACTGCGTAGTAGGTGTTTTACTTCTAACTGAGATAAATCCAAAAGATCATTGTTTTTCCTACATTTTCGTTATTATTCAAAAAAAATAAATTATCCATTAAGTTTTTCTTGTATATATTTTTTTTTTCATCATTAATGTTTAGCTAAAGAAATATTCTTCATGTGTTCCAAGGTTTAATACAAACAATTTTATCCAAATATCTGTACACTTAATATATAAAAAGCAATGAATAAAAAAAAAAATAACAACAGCTAATAATGATGTACACATCTGAATATTCTACATGAAACCATATAAGCGGATAATTTTTCGTCAACACTTAATCCTGGCTTTCATAGTCGACGAGCTAATCGAGGTGTAGCTAATGCAAGATGCGGTAATTGTTGATGTAATGGTAGTAGTTGATCTTGATGCTGCGGTAATATTTTGTGTGATAATGATGGTGTATAATGATGATGTGATCGTTGTTTTGGTGTTCTGTTCTGTTCAACACAAAGTGATTGAGGATGCTGATGTGAAGAAACACGAGACGGATGAGGAGACGGAGGAGGAGGAGGCGTATTCCTACCATCAAATTCCATTCGACTTTGATTATCAGCAAATGCAAACAGTTTTCGTTTGATAGATTCGAAATGTCTTTTTGTCGATGCGCTCATATTATTTCCTTTATCATGAAGAATGTGGTTAAAATGAAATGATCTTTTCTTCTTGTGATCAACATTAACAGCCATACTGATTAATAGTGAATCTGTAAAGTTAAACTATTATATTTTCAATGTTACTTGTATTTAATATAAAAAATACTTGAAATTACTTTGCTTTTATATAATAAATTCGCTCTTAGTCAAGTATGATTAATGAACCGTGATGTTTTTTGTTGCGACTTTGGATTTTTTTTCTCTGTCATATACAAAAAAACATATCTTTTTCTGTCCTTCAGTCTCAATCACTCATACAAATAACGACTATTAAGAAATTATTGTCAAATAAAAATTGGTCTTTTCCTACAAAATAACATCGAATAATATATATTTATAAAATCAAAAAGGTTTACGGCGTGCTTGATATAACGAAACATAATTGATTATTCGCAAGAATATTTTTTCTTAACAGTAAATAATAAATAGTATATTCATAGATATAGAAAACATTTATAAATTATACTAACAAAAATTAATAATGAGATGAAAGAGACAAAAGACTAGCAACTAGAAGGATTCGGTTCTTTTTTCTGTTGTCATACTGAATCATTTCTTCTATTCGACCAGCAACAATAGACCTTGAACATATTCAACGAGATTGATCTGCAAAAATTTCGAGACATTCTTGAATGTGATATGTTCATTTTCAATGTGTATCATTGTGTTGCCCATGTTGATCGAAATGAACTTTTTCTTGAAGAATATGAATGACATGCTATATGTTAGGATGTTTCTTGTCGATGCGATGGGCATATAAATTTTGCTGTTCTATCTGAACCATATTCGAATATTATAATGCAGATGAAAAATGCATTGCCGATAAAATGTCTGTCGACGAATGATATTACAATTCAACTTTTTAACTGTCAAAATAAAATATATTTGCTCGAGATTTAAAAAAAAAGAATGCATGTGAAAAAATTCACGAAATAATATTTTCAATCAAATCAAGGTATCAAAGAGGAAAATATACATGAATATTTTTTGCTTGATAAGAAAAGTGGTTGATACAAAAAAATAACATAATGCTTTATTTTTCTCTTTTGTATTCTCGATCGTTTGAAAAGATGAAGCCTTGTATGATCATTGAGACCAATGATTAATTCGAATATTTCGACGATAAAAATAAAACGTTGTAGACGATCGTCTCGGATGTTTTCTTATTTTTTCATATCGCATATTAAAAATCATGTAATTACATTCTATGACGTTTATATTACGTTTCGGTCGTTTTTATGCTGTCTAGTCAACGCTAAAAGATAGATTGGTGAGTACATAGGTTGAAGTATTGGTGGTCTTATACCCATATAAACTTGAATTATTCATTTATATTAGGTTATATTAATGCTTGATATTATTGCTATAGTTGATGTTCTTTGGAACACATCGTAGTATTCTTGGAAAATGACTATGAATTTTATTAATTATATTCTTTTCTATTGGTGTTCTTTTTTTTGTAAATATTATCTAAATTTTAGGAAGAGTTTTTTGGTTTAGGTTTGATTTTTTGGTAACTTTGTGGACGAAAAACAACTCCAATTATATAAGAATGAGTTTCTTTTCTTTTGTTTATTGTCATATGAATAAACTAAAATTTGCAGGGATGTTGATAAAATTTTTTTAAAGATTTCTTTTCTATTATCTACAATATCACGTTTCATTTTATTCATAATAGGTTGCCATTTGTTTCACACATCATTATAATACAATAAACAATTACAAAAAAAAAAAAAAAAAAAAAAAATAAATTCATTTATCAAAAAGAAAACGATGTTTTATATCAGTATCACTTCTCGATTAATGTCATTGTGTCTATATCTGTGGATTTATTTTGTTGTTAGTTTGCCATGCCAAGCTCATCATCTATATAAAATAATACAAGGCATAATAAAATTCAATATTTTTGTAAGGAAATGAAATTTGCTTTTTTTTTTTTTGATGAATTTTTAAAATCTACTTAAGACAAACGTAAAAAGAAGTCTTTGAAAATTCTCATCAAAATTTTAAGCAAATAATGTTATATATGTCACAATAAAAATATTAAATTATTTGACTATTGTTAAATGGAATTACGTCATATTTGTCCCCAAAAAATTATTATTCCATCCAAAATAACCTTCAACTACGTTGTATATAAAGCTTGATCGTATTATAATTATTTTCATAGAGGAGTTTATCATTTAAATGCAGTATGACTACAAATAAATAATAATAAAAGCAGGAAAACAAAAACACAGTTGCATCAGACTGTATCTCGTTTCGAAACATTTCAATTTGCTTCGCAAAAATTAACAATGACATCAGTATCATTAGTTGTATTCACAATCTATACCATCTTCTTCATTATTATTGATTAATTAGTTGAATTATCTTATTTTGTTGCAAATAAAAAATGACCGAACTAGAGAAACTAAATACATACATAAAAACAATATGATCGATCGTCATTTACGTTTCGGTCGAAGGATATTTAAGATAGAGTTAAATTTTTCTTAGGTTTCTTTCGCATAAAGACATTCTGCTTAGAGATATTTTGTTTTTTAAGAACATATTGCCTAAAACATTCTACCCGGAATATTTTCTTTTTTCGATATATTTATGCGGGAGCCTTTTAAAAAAAGATAATAATGACATATGTCATTAAATGATATAATACCTTTATCATTATTGTTGACAGGTTTTTTCTTTTTATTACGTTTATTTCGTTTTTTTTTATTTGGTTTTGTTTCAATTGTTGATGTTGGTGATGATGTTTGATCATGTTGTTGAATCTGATCTAATCGTTTTTTATTATTTGATATTTTTTTAAGTGATGCAAGTAAACGAAATTTATCTGGATTACGTTGTTTTTCAACACGAAATTGTGTATAATCAAGAAAAGCTACTGAAAAACGACGACTTTTTATTGTAACAACATAATCATCACCATATAAAAGTGAATGTGGTGTATCATCTGTTTCTGTATTTGTACTAGCTTCTTCCATTTCAGCTAATGATGACATTAAATTTTTAGCTGCACTACGTAAATATTCCATATCACCTTGATCATCAATTGATTCATCAAAAAATAAATCATCATTATCAAAATCTGATGGTAAATCATGAAAATCATCTTCACTTGAAACTGTTTCATCTTCATCACTGTTTACAAATAGTTCATCTTTTTTTTCTTCAACAATCAATTGATTTTGAGAATTTATTGATATTTTCTCTTGTTTGGAAGCAGAATGAGAACAATTTTTTTCTTTAATCGATGGTTTTAGTTCCACAGAACTTTCTAGAATTAATAAATACGAATGGTTATCTTTGTTTTTTTCTTATTTTCAAGTTAGTTACTACAAACCTGCTTGTTTATTGATAGATGGAGGTGGTGGTAAAATAGGTGTTGATGGTTGAGCTTTAGAAGATGAATTTATCTTTTTTGTAGGAGATATTAGATCATTTTTATTATTGATCTCATTCAATGGAGAAGTAGGCAAAGTAACGGTTGGTTTTAATTGAAGTTCCATTTGTCGTCGTTGTAAATAATCATTCAAATAATGATCTGAATATATGTCTATATAAATTGGTATCACTCGAACAAAATTATCAAATTTTCTGTTGATTGATTGTACAAGATCTAAATTCAGAATTTAAGAAATAAAAGATTTTAAATAAAATTCATCGAATAGAAAATTTTTACTTTATCTATCAGTGTATTTTGTGATACATAATGTAAAATATGTGTTCTAATATGCAAGATAGGAAATTACCCGTCTTATAGAACATAGTAGATACTTTTGGTATACAATCAAAGATTGCATATAAATAACGGTTCATTATAGTAAATGAACTGGAGAATTAACTACAAGGATAGTTACAAAATATGACCCAAAAATAGATAGAATAAAACTAGCTTTCTGGTATTAACAACATCAGCTACATTGTGTTTTAATCCAACATAGATTGCTCTAACAGCCATTTTATATTATTCCGACTATTTATATTTCTTAAAAGATTAATTGGATTTTACTTTAAATCAGCAAATGAATGATTTACACTCAATTTATTTATTATTATAGATTCGATGATATAATGACTAGATAAATATGTCAAACTTACCAAGACTCAAACCATTTGGGTTTGATACATATCTAATAATGACTAACCTACGATTCTAATATGATTATTTCGACCGTTGGAAACGACTATAAAAGAGCATTTTACTGCATTGAATTGTGCAGCATACCGCCTTACCGTTTTACGCGTCCTTCTTTTTCGCTAGAAAACAGCTAATAGCTTCTAGAATGAGGAGTCGTGGCACCGTTTTATATTGAGTATACGATGCAAAATTAATTGCTAATATGTCCAGATATGATTCTTTACTCAAGAATATTGCGGAGAGTAATTTTTTATTTTAAAAAGAGCATACTCCAAACTTTCGAAAAGTATGCTATTTATAGATGTGTATTGAGAAAAACATGAAAATAAATGTTCATTATTTCAAAAAATATAATAGACTGAAAATGACAATTCGATATATGTTTGAAAAGTATATGATACATGATAAAATCTTTGTTATAAAAAATTCGTCTAGCTAATGAAACAACGAATCAATATCGTATTGATATATAAAAAAGTATCAATAATAAAATCAGTGTTAGTTAATATTAAATAGTAAGACGTTATTGATCATAAAAAATTAGTTGTTTATGAAGGAAAAAACCAGATCGATTGTAATCGGAAAAAAACAAAGGAAGAAGTAAGATGCGAAAAATAAAAAATTAGCTATAATAAACTGTTAGAGATGGTTTTTCATCTTTACTATATCAGATAAGATAAAGTTAGAAAGTATAATTTTTCATATTTAGATTATAAAAAAAAATCAACATGTTTCAAAATTATTTTACCAAATAAAGTAAAGTTGAGTTACTTTACCAGATAGAGTAACGATAAAATGCCAACTCCACTTTTGTCTCGTAGGCTATTTATTTTTGGGGTTTCTTTCTCGATAAGTGCATGCTGCAATTTTCTTTCTTTATTTTTATTGTTCTCGTAGATAAAGAACGAAAAAGTCAACTTTTTGTAAAAGATTACATTTCAATGCAACAAAAAGAGTCTTTTCTCGAAAAAAAATAATTTCGAAAACATTAACTGTACACCCTATCATTTATTCTATCGTTTCAATTCGTAGATATCCAGTAAGAATCTATTGGAAAAATGTCGTTTTCGGCTGAAGAATATTAGAAATAGGAATTCGGTAATTAAATTCAATGACCGGCTCTACCTGATTACGGTTGATTATCATCGAAATTGGAAAATTCTAGCCATGTGGATACGAGCATTAAGTTTTTGCTTCCAAGAAATTTATAATAATAAAAACTACGTGACCACCTTTGAAATACACACTGAATGTGATCGAAATTTTCGAATCATTGTCCGATTCGAAAGTGAAGTAACAGTATTAAACTTTCACCTTTATTAGAACACCGTCTGAAATATCTCAAAAAACAATAATTTTACTTTTTCGAGCATTTCATCTTGATGAAACTTCCAGTGAATATGTAGCTCGAGCTAGGTATCTCACAGTAAAAAAATTTAGCTCGATACATTAAGCCTACGTACGAAGAGTTAGCTTAAGGTTATGAGTCAAAACATAGGTTTCCGTGCGTTTTGAATTTCACCGCCATTTCATATGTTAGAAAGTTCAGATTGATTTTTAAATGTAGCCAAGACATGAGACTACAACTTAACAGGACTCGATCTTTCGATTATCTGCTAGTTTATGTTCCTACAAAACTTCTCTGATAACATATAGAAAACTCAGGATGGTTAGTATTTAATAAACATTAGTGGCGCTTAGAATAACGGAGAAATCTAGGACGTACGGAAACGTCAAAATTAAAATCCCTATTATGAGAAAAATACAAAATAATTTTCAAGACTTTTCACCTCCATAGACTGATTTTAAAAAACCTTCGAGTAATTTTCCATAGATCAACAAATAGAACGAATCAAAAGATCTACAAGAGAACTCTATATCCACACGTATTACGTTCATCGAGATATCAATAAAAATTATCTGTTGAAAAAAATATCTATAAATTTATCTTAATCGATATATATTGTGTAAAAACAGTATTTTCAAATGATCCTAAACACTTCAAAACATGTTGTACTCATCATGATTGACAATGTAACAAAAAGAAATTTATTAATAAATGCGGAAACTTCGGATTTAAATCCGAGAGTTATGTGTACTTCAAAAAGTGAATCATACAAATCAATCATCCTAGACTATCTGAATATCAAAAGTATACTGTCAAATCTACCATTTAAAATGTTGGTTTATATTCCGCGTCGCCAAACGAATAGGATATGGGACCGAACTAAGCTCAAGTTTGAACTCTGCACCTTGATTTACTCTAAGAAAGTCATTTTTCCTAGAACTTCATTTCTATTGGTCACTGCACAACTAATAGTATTCCGATGGAAGTGCAGTACACATTCGAGTTCTCCATACCTGAAAACCTCGAAATATCATCAGTGTAATCGGAAGATAAAGCTTTATTTGTGGATCAATTAGATTGTGGACCAAAATATAACCTAGTTATCTTTAATTTTCTTTGTGATAGGTTAGTCAACGTTCTTGTTTCTTTATGTTTTATATATCATTTTGTAGTACTTGAAATTTTCTATCGAATGGTATATAGTAGTTGGGGTTTTAATTGACTAAGATAGGAAAAGTCTTTTACGAAAGTCACGATGGGTCCATTTTTCCACAGAAAGCTATAAGGAAAAATGGGTATTTTTGCAATAATTCAGGAACGGCTCAACTGGTCTTTCTCATCTTCGAACTCGACCGAGCTATTGTCAAGGCTAAG